ATGTTTTTAGAATCATATTCAAAGTCTATTTGGCAAATTTTAGTTAAAGTTCCATTTGGAAGCCCTATTGGAAGTTGAAATTTGTGTTGGACTTGAAGAGATCAAGATAAGGAAACTTTTGGACATTCTATTTCATTTACAACTCTACTTATAGAGCTTGGATTATTTTCTATATATATTTGAGTTTTCTCTACAATTTAGTTGTGTTGATTTTATCCCATTATGGGTTGTTAACCTTATTATAAGTTGGTTTAACCTTATTGGAGGTTTATTTATCTCCATTATTAGTTATGGTTTAATCTTATTGGAGGTTTGTTTATCTCCATTATTAGTTAGACAAATTGTAAACACAAATCTTTGTATTATTTCTCTATATTTCAGTGAAAACTCCATTTCTCTGTCAATTATTTTGTTCTTGAGTTTGTTATCAATTACTTCTTATCATGTCATATTATTTTTTCACCTTTTATCACAACAAATTGGTATCTTCTTCGTTGTTCATAAAAGAAGCTATTCACTTATGTATTGGGAGTAACTTCATCTCAGGATTCTTTTTCCATGTTCAAATTGTTGTCTTTCTTAAAGTGATTGGGAAGGTCCAAAAACTTATTGTACCTTACACGTATGATTTATTTAGTAGTGAAGGAAAGGACTATTGGCTACTTCCTATTAACTAAAGTCTTCTGCATTGTAATTGTTTTTACTTATTCCGTCAAGAAGAGTACACAATCATCATGTTCTTTTGTTGTTCTTCCTTTTCCATTTCATCGAGTAGTGACTTATTTTTCTTTTGTCTATCTCACAAGATTTCTAATGCCTTAGTTTTCTTATTTATCAGGAGCCAGTCGCCCTTTTGGGAGGGATGATTGTAGGTTTTCTAAGGTTTGATTTAAATGAAGACCTTCTGAAGGAATGGGTTGCAAGAATAGTTGAAGCTTCTGCTACTACTGAAGAAGAAATTAGTGGCAGAAAAGATGCCCAAGCAGAAGAAATGACACAGCAGATAGAGATAGAATGATGATTTGTTCTTGTATTGCGATAAACACCATTGCAATGGGTACAATTATTATTTTATATATTAGGTGATTATCTATTATGTATCAGTAAAGATTGAGATTGGTCTTATGTGGGTGCAAACTGTGTTCTTATCATTGGGAGGGTGATAAGGTGTAAAATTATAAGAGCGTGCAGTCTACCTATAAAGTCGAGTTTGGATTTGTCGTCATGAATTTGTTGTCCCCTTTGGTCGTTCCCGTTTATAATTTTGACACCTTGATACATCACCTCTTATTTGCAAACTCTTTTTACAAATGGGAATACAGTAAGGAAGATGTGTTGAAAATGTGATGTCTTTGATGTGTCGAAAATGTATCGATATCACTACATATTAAAAGAGCCAAAATAAAGGCAGACACATGTCGCCATTTCCAATCGTCAAAAATCTTTTTTTTTTCTTTTTTTTATTCCCTGAAATTCATCAAAAATTTCCATCATGCTTCTCCATTATCTTACGCAACCACCAACTCCTCCTCCATTTTCCCACGCAACCTCCCATGAACTACTATCTGAAGAAGGATTTAAGCATAAAAAATCTTTGAAAAATGGAAAAAGTTGAAGCTCAGGGATAGGAGAGTCCAAGATGAGTCGATTCCACTGCCTATTTACATATGCCACGACAAGTCAAAGTTACAAAAAACCTAAAGTTGAATTATGGCCAGAAAATCAAAAATCAGATTATTTCAGGTTTTTAGCTTGCCGCAGTAAACCAAACCAACACAGTGCTTGGTAGAGGAAAACTATATGCCCAAATATACTATAATCAAGAAAGCTGAAAATATCCATCTTTCTCCATCCAACGACGTAGTGAGAGCTATTTATGCTATTTGCTCCTTAGGTTGCCTGATTGATTGTGAAATAGCGATTCGTGTGGTGAGCAAAGTTTGGTTGTATTCTCAAGGAGATCCCACATTTGAAAATTCATTATCACAGGTTGTTGAATTATGACGATGAAGACAATCATGTGGTAGATGATATGGAGGACAAGATGGCATCACAGTCAGCCAAAGCAAGGTGTCACTAGTGGTCCAATATTGAAGGAATGATCTAGAAGGAATTTCACCACATGGAAAGTTTGTTATTTTGTAACAATATTAGATTCTTTGTAATTATTCTTTCCAGTACAAGTTTTGCATTATAGTACAGGTTTTGTAATGTGTATAAATCAGCAAAGGATCATTGATAGTAAATACAATAAAAAATACAAAATTCCAATCAAACAGACTTTGCATTTCCGGCTTGTTGCTGGAATGTTCTTCTTCTCATTTTTTTTCATTTTGTTATATGGTATCAAAGCTAAAACAATGGCCGAGCAAAATGTGCAAACACAAAATGTTTTTGATTCCTCAAACGCTAGTGCAAATCAAAATCCAAGAATCAATCCTAAAAATGTACATGATTTCAGAAATCTCGAACCTACACACCCAAACAGCCCCTATTTCATTGGAAGTAATGATGGAAATGGAGGGATATTGGTCACTCAGGTGCTGGAAGCAAACAATTATCATGTCTGGGCTATATCTGTAAAGAGAGTACTCAGGATCAAAAACAAATTAGGTTTCATAGATGGAACAATCTGTGAGCCAGCTGACCAGAATGACCCTCTGATGGAGCATTGGCTGAGATGCAATGACATCATGATTACCTGGCTCCAAAACAGCATGGCAGTGGACATTCGGAGCAGTGCTGTGTATGTTGATACTAGGCATCAACTTTGGCTGGAGCTTGAGCAACGGTTTGGACAACAAAATGCACCTAGAGTATATGAGGTTAAGCAAGCCATCATGGTCCTAATTCAAAGTCAAGACGATGTAAGTTCCTACTACTCTAAGTTTAAAACTCTCCTAGATAAGCTCCTAAACTAGGAGGCCATCCCCAATTGCACCTGTGGTGCCCTGAAGGTTGTAGTTGACAACCAACAAATAGATTGGGTAATGAAATTCTTAATGGGATTAAATGAATCATACAAGGATATCAAGGCACAGGTTCTGCTAATGAAGCCCTTTCCCACCTTGAATGAGGTTTATGCTACCATCCAACAGGAAGAAAACAAAAGGCAGATTTCTGCAAAAGGAACCGTGACTGAACATATGTCCTTCATTGCAAAAGGAAACTGGAGAGAAGGTGGTAAACAAAGCCTCTCGTCACAGAAGAAGGACTACTATTGCACATTTTGTAAAATCTCAGGACATTCTCTTGAAAGGTGTTTTAAAGCTAATCCAAATAGGCCTATTTGTTCGCATTGTCAAATGCCTGGACACAAGGCTGATAAGTGTTATAAACTTCATGGATATCCATCAACTCTCAGAAATGATGGAAAGAACAGGTATAAACCAGCTGCAAATCAGGCAATTACGACTATAAATCCAAGTCAGGAGCAGAACAATAGAGCCCAAGTGCCAATGACTCAAAAGCAATATTTCCAACTCAGGGCGATTCTGAAGCCATCCTCTAACCAGAGCCAACACTGAGTCCAACTCTGAGAGTACCATTCCCAAAATCTGTGGTACATCATATTGCCTGTCAACTATTAGAACTAAGGATTTTGACAAACTCAATACTCCTTGGATTCTGGATACTGGTGCAATAGATCATATGATCTGTTTATCATCCCTTTTTACTTCCACTAAGTCACAAATTAATTGGTTCGTTTCACTGCCTAATGGGAACAATGTTCATGTTACTTAGATTGGAACAACACAAATTACGAAAGCTTTAACCCTTAATGATGTCCTGCTTGTTCCTTTATTTGATTTTAATTTAATATCTATCAGAAAGCTAACCCTTGAGTCACATTGCTGTGTTATTTTTCTTGCTGATCATTGTTAAATATAGGACCTTTTGACTTGGACCACGACTGGAATGGGTGAATTGAAGTTAGGCCATTACCATATGATGAAGACACCGATATTTCCTGCAGAGCCAATTGCCCCTGCAGCCCTTCAACGAGTTTTAAACCAGTTAATAAGAGTACCATCGATTGCTGCACCTACTATTAGCCCTTCAAAATCCTTTGATATCTGGCACTACAAATTGGGGCATCCGTCATCTTCTATCCCTTTCAACAAAATTATTTCCAGAATAGATAAGTCAAAACCATGTTATGTGTGTCCTTTAGCTAAAATGCATAGGCTTCCTTTTCCTGTAAGTCAGCACAAGTCAGACGCATGCTTTGATTTAATACATGTTGATCTTTGGGGGCCTTGCAATGAATCGAGCTATGATAGAACTCGTTATTTTCTCACAATAGTTGATGATTTCAGTAGATCCACCTGGGCTTATATGCTAAAAACTAAAGCTAAAACATCAAGAGCCTTACAGACATTTTAGTCCATGATTGAAACACAATTCAAAACCAAAATAAAAATCATTTGATCTGATAATGGTGGGGAATTTAATTTGAAAGATTTTTATGCTGAAAAGGGGATTATACATCAAAGATCATGTGTTGAGACTCTCCAACAAAATGCAATTGTTGAGAGGAAGCATCAACACATCTTGAACATTGCAAGGGCCCTGAGGTTTCAAAGTACTGCCATTGAGGTATTGGAATGAATGCGTCATGACTGCTGTATATCTCATCAATAGAACTCCCTCATATGTTTTAAATCACAAGTCCCCGTTTGAAATTATGTTCCAGAAAGAGCCTACATACTGCCATCTTAAAGTTTTTGGTTGCCTTGCCTTTGCTTCCACTCTTTTGCAAGGCAGACATAAATTTGATTCTAGGGCCAAAAGGTGCATGTTCTTTGGATACCCTTTTGGAATCAAGGGATACAAACTCATTGATTTGCAAACTAAGAAAATTTTTGTAACAAGAAATGTAATATTTCATGAAGCTGTCTTCCCCTTCAAAGAAATCAAAACTAAAGAGCCTAATGATGCTAGATACTTTACAAATCCTTCTCTTCATCAGGATCCATCAATTCCCACTCAGGTTAATCATGAATGCCTGGAACCTGAGCAGCCAGATGATCAAATTATCCCAACTACCTACCATGAAGGTCACATTGAATGCTGTGACAGAAGTCAAAACCAAATTTAACAAGCCACATACCAAAGAGACCTGCACACTACAGATAATGAGCCTGTGAATTTCCCTTTACCTAGGAAGTCTACAAGAATCAAAAGAACCCCTCAGTACTTGCAGGATTTCATATGCCAATAGATTACTTCATTCATGCCATTGCAGGATCTGGCCAGGACAAAAGGGTCTGTTAACCCAGGTAATCCTTACTCCCTTAGTAATAATATCTCTTATAAAAGACTAACCACTACTCACAAAGCCTTTGTCAGTTCCATAACTTCCCAAATCGAACTAAAACATTTCCAAGAAGCCATCAAGCACCCTGAATGGTGTAAGGCAATGAGGGCAGAAATTGAAGCTCTTGAGTCAAATAACACATGGGTAATTGTTGATCTACTACCTGATAAGGAAGCGATAGGGTGTAAATGGGTGTATAAGATCAAGTTTAAAGCTGATGGGAGTGTCAAAAGGTATAAAGCAAGGCTGGTTGCAAAAAGTTATACACAACAAGAAGAATTGGATTATCATGAGACCTTTTCCCCTATGGCAAAAGTAGTCACCATTCGCAGCTTACTCGCCATTGTAGCAATGAAAGGCTGGTTCTTATTCCAATTGGATGTCAACAATGCGTTTTTACATGGTGATTTGAATGAAAAAATCTATATGCAATTGTCCCCTGGATATGACAATATTGACAGATCAAAAGTATACAAATTACACAAGAGTTTATACAATTGTCCCCTGGTATGCCAAACTATCAGCCTTCATCACTGAGCATGATTTTATCCAGTCAAAGGCAGATTACAGTTTATTCACTAAGGTTTCACAGAATTCTTTCACAGCAATTCTAGTATACGTTGATGATGTTATCCTGGCAGGTAATTGTATGGAAAGCATCAATATTCTTAAGGCTGCACTTCATGATAAATTCAGGATCAAAGACTTGGGAAAATTAAAGTTTTTTCTAGGAATAGAAGTGGCAAGAATAGAACGAGGAATATACATATGCCAAAAAAAGTCTGCTCTTGATATTTTGAGGGATTCAGGCACCATAGGATCAGCTCCCTCAAAGATACCCCTTGATCAGAATGTCAAATTGAGCAAAGAACAAGGTGATTTGCTTCCTGATCCTTCTATCTACAGAAGGTTAATAGGGCGACTACTATATCTGACTATAACGAGGCCAGACCTCTCATATTCAATTCAACTTTTGAGTCAGTACATGGATAAGCCTAGAGCACCACATCTTCATGCGGCTTATAAGGTATTAAAGTACATCAAGAAGGCACCAGGACAAGAATTACTCTATGCCAGTACTTGTAATTTGCAGCTGAAAGCATACTCAGACTCAAATTGGGCTGCTTGTCCAGAAACTAGAAGATCTGTCATCGATTATTGTGTGTTCATTGGTTAATCTCTTGTATCATGGAGATCAAATTAGCAAAGTGTGGTGTCCAAATCTTCCTCAGAGGCTGAATATAGGGCCATGGCGCAGGCCTGTTGTGAAGTAACATGGATGAAATATTTGTTGGAAGATTTACAGATTGAGCACAATCAGCCAGCAAAATTATATTGTGATAATAAATCGGCTATGTACATTGCCACTAATCCCGTGTTTCACAAAAGGACGAAGCATATAGAAATAGATTGCCACGTTGTGAGAGATAAAATTCAAGATGGAAGCATTGTCACTGAATATGTTCACACTGGATCCCATCTTGCTGACATGTTAACAAAGGCCTTGAGTTCTTCGAATCTTTACTCACACACGATCAAGATGGGAGCGATGGATATCTACTCTCCATCTTGCAAGGGGGTGTTGAATTATGATGATGAAGACAATCACGTGGCAGATGATATGGAGGACGAGATGGCATCACAGTCAGCCAAAGCAAGGTGTCAATAGTGGTCCAATATTGAAGGAATGATCTAGATGGAGTTTCACCACATAGAGAGTTTGTTATTTTGTAATAATATTAGATTCTTTGTAACTATTCTTTCCAGTACAAGTTTTGCATTATAGTATAGGTTTTGTAATGTGTATAAATCAGCAAATGATCATTGATAGTAAATACAATCAAAAATCACAAAATTCCAATCAAACAGACTTTGCATTTCCAGCTTGTTGCTGGATTGTTCTTCTTCTCATTTCTTTTCATTTTGTTATACAGGTTTCTGTAATGGAAGGAATAATGGAGGTTTTATTTGCCTCTAATGATGATGAAATTTTGGAACTTGCAATGTCAATTTTAGCAGAACTGACAACAAAGGAGTTGAATGCAAAAATCATATTGAATGCAAATCCGAACCTTGATGTCTTCCTAAGATTATTGAGAAGTAACAGCCTATTTCTGAATCCTGCAGCTGTGAAGACAAAGGCAAAACAGATGATATCAACAGAATGGATTCTCCTTCTCTCAACTTACCTGACTAATTAGTTTGGGATTTCTTCGGGTTATGGGTTCTTATGGTTCCGGATTTTAAGGGTTGGAGCATGGAGAGACGCATTGTCTCCATGCAAAAATGGAGATACGGATTGTGTCTCCATGTATTTCCATCACGGAGATGTGTCTTCGTGCCACACGGAGACATCTCCGTATGCAAAGGAGACACGGCTTTGTATATTTCCATCATGGAGACATCTTCGTACCACATGGAGACATCTTCGTACCACACGGAGACAGGGTGTTCGAGTCTCCGTTCGCAATGGAGACACAACTCTGTGTCTCTGTGGCGCACGGAGACACGTGTCCTTGTCACATGGACACATGGTGACGTGTCTCCGTGTGCAATGAAGACACGGCTCCGTGGCGTATAGAGCCATTATATTTTTTCTTTACCACAACTATAGATTTTTGCTGCGTTGCAGGTATTCATCTGTTGATTTTGCTAATGAAAAGGGAAACTTTCTGCAATTGTTTTGAGCGGGCATTGAGCATAATTTCAGTTTCTCTCTTTGCAGTTGAAAAGCTCTCAGATTTTTCTCCATTATTAAGGTGTTAGGGGTGGTGGTGGAAGTGCACCAGTGGATGAACAATTGAAGACGTGAAGGACAAAATTGGAAAGATATTACAGGAGTTTGAGTCTGGTGGGGAGACGAGAGAATCTTATCTTTGCATAAAAGAGCTCGGTATGCCATTTTTCCACCAGGAGGTTATAAAGAAATCATTGGTAACAATTATGGAGATTAAGAACGAGAGATTATGGGGCTTGCTTCGAGACTGTTTTATCATGGGACTGATAACGGAGAACCAGATGTTCAATGGTTTTTTGTGAGTGCCAGTGTCTTTTCGATGACTTGGCTTTAGATGTACCCGATGCTGAGAAATAGTTCAAACATTACTTCGAAAGGGCTAAGGCTGAAGGTTGGTTGGACACTTCTTTTGGTGTCAATGGATCTGAACATGCTTTAAAGAATGGTTTTTGCAAATGATCAAACCAAATGAAGTGTACAAAGTGAGCAACAGGAATCTGGACAACATGTTTTTTTTTGCTGATACGTCCTCTCGCGTATTTCTTTAGTTGCATCACATTTTGACTGTACACTTAATAAAATTCTCAATTTTTGTTTATTAAAATATTTATGTCTTTTAACTTTTTTTTAGTTGAAAACTTGTCTTTAACATAGCATCAACAATAACATTTTCATCCTTGATAATGATTTCTGTCAAGATGTTATGTTTGCATGTTTTAAAATAAGGAAAAAAATATTTGTTACAATTTTTATTTATTGTTTTTAAAAATATAATGGGTAAATAAAAACTCTCTTTCAACAAACTTTTTGGACGGACATCATCTTTCACGGACTTCATCTTCTACATATTCAAAAAAAAAAAAAAATATCTCTCCTCCCTTTTGTTGCATGTTCTCAAAGCAAGTCAATCATTGAGAGCAAATAAAGTAATTATTTCTCTAATTTGATTCTTCATCTGAAAAACTTCAAAATATTCTTTTGTAGTTTTGTTGCAAAATTATAAGAACATGGGTGGATTACCATCCCTTAGACCAAGTAAATGGTTATATGTCTCCGTGCCGCACGAAGAAACCGTGCTGAGACATGGTGTCTTTGTGCCATACGGCATGTCTCCGTGCTCAACGGAGACATCGGTCCGTATCTCCATCTCGCACAGAGACATGGGTTTCTTCATGTCTCCGTGTTCGGGACATGGAGACACGACTCCCATGTCTCCGTGTCTGAGACATGGTTATTGTTTCTGATGACAATAAATATTAGTCATATGTTGAGCTTTGGATGATTTTATTTGTTTGACTTTAATATGATCACATGTATTTTTATGACATTGTGTTCCAATATTCTTGAAGATTATGGTATAAATTGTAATGGGTTATGTTGATATCCGATCTCACCAGGCATGCTCCGACCTGGGGGTAACTATTGATATTTGACCTCACCAAGGTGAGCTCCGACCTGGGGGGTAACTGTGGATATCCGACCTCACAAGGCGAGCTCTGACTTGGGGTAATTCGAGTTCGAATATGTGAGGTCAGCTCGGTTTATGTAGTTTATCGAAGCTCAAGGAGACATAATGATTGAAGATTCCTTACACACTGTCAAACGTCTAATCAATTAATTACATTTGAATGGGCTCATGACAACACCTCCTAAATCCACCAATCATATGTCTTAGCCTCCTTCCCTAAGTAACTCATTAATTGCTGGAGGCCACCTGTAAGGATAAACTCACGATGACTTGACAAGCCGAGCTCGTTAACCAATCTAAACATGTCAATAGTGTACTTTCTCAGCTTGATACTATAGCTGATAAGACAACGAAATGATGAATGCATGTTAACCCTTCCCTATAAAAGGAGGGATGAGAGTCTTGGAAAAGAAGGATTCTAAACACTTGATATCTCAAATATCTCCTTTGACAAAACAAAAGGGAAACACTTGTAGTTTATTCTTGTAATCTACAAGTTATTATCAGTAAAAATCATCATTTACATCCTAAGTTGGCTTGAATCTTGTTCATACAATTTTTGACGTCAACATATTCTATTTGTGCGGTGATTATGGTAGTGTAATGGGTTCTATTTATGTATTTATTATAGCATTACTTTCACTGTGTATTGAGCCTATATTTTGATTAATAACAATTTATAGTTTAAGGGAGTATCACTTCATGTAAACATAATGTTCAGATTTGTAACATATTTTCTTTATCGGGTAGGGATTTTATTTCACCTTGCAAGTGCAAAGAGACGTTAAAGTATGTTCATGGAGAATGTCTGGATCATTGGCGTGCTGTGAAGGTATGTTCTATTAGTTGCCAAAAATTTATTCTTCACAAGTATGCCCTTTCAATTTTAGCTTCTAATGATACCACTTTGCTTAATTACTTTAAATGTTGCAGCTACTCATTTGCTAATTGATTTTGCTTAATCCACTACTCTCTTTTCCTTATTTCATTAATAGATTCTCTAATTATACTAATTTGTGGTGTTATTAATTTCAAACCATCTTACATAACTAAATTATATATAGACAAACACAACACATGTGAAATAATTTAGAATCATATAGGGGTCTAACCGTTCTAATTAAAAGTTCAATGCATGCATTATTAGCACTTGCATTATCAAAGGTAACACTAAATAGTTTATCTAATACACCAAATTCATTAAAAACTTGTTTTAGTTTTCACACAAATTTACACAATTATGTGGATAGTCAAATAAACGAAAAGCAATAATTATCTTATGCAATACCCAATTATTATCAATAAAATGTGCTATGACACAAGCATAATCATTATGATTTTGTC